CTTCTGCTGCAAATTGTGCTGCCATGGATGCCTTTTTCTCTTCATTAATTTTCTTAATTTCAAGATTCTGCCGAGCAAGAATTGTATACACAGTTATGAACAGCACATTAACAAAATAAAAGAAATTTTACAGGGAAGAATTTGAGTTAGCACCTTGCTTTCCAAAAGAGATTCAGTCAGCTTGAGCTTCTCGTCAACCCTTGACCACTCGTCCGTAAGCTAACATCATAGAAAACAGTTAACTATATCAGCCTGTGTTCTTAGCACAAACCAATAGCTTTGAAATTAGCACAGGAAAATTAGTCATATGTACCCAACTCAAAGTGCCTAAGGGACAGATATGAAACGCTACCACTAAGAATTATGTTGCTAAAAAAGGCAACATGAATGCAAATACTAGTCTAGACCTGCCCATCAACTGTCAGTAGATTGCAGTTTTCAATAATTGATGTGGAAGTTTGTAGAGTTATTCTTATTTTGGAACAAGCTGCCCTTAAATGTTTAATGAATCCGCAAAGTCAAATGTGAGTCCAAATGATACGAACATCATTCTGTTGCTCAGCTCTCCCAAACTAAAGCAGAAATTAAAAGTAAATTCAATTACATAACAGCAATTCTCATTCAAACGAGACTTTTTCCAAAACAGGAGAATTTAAACAAGATAAGAACTGATTGATATTGAGGGCACCAGAAACTGCAGTTTGAATCTTATAATTTACCATATATTTCTCTGTTACAAGACAGTCACAACAAAATTCTGTCCTCTTGTCCTAATTGCTTCACAACTCCTACAATTCTTGCCATACTCCACGAATGCAGTCATTTTCCATTTCACACTCAATGCATCTCCTAGTCAACCCCAGTCTTTTTCAACAGTTTCAACTGTGATTACACTTACCTTTTAACTCAATTTTCTACATGTCAAAAGTGAAAATGATATCAATTTCTTACTTCCTCTTATCCTCAGTAACTCAAAATCATACTCTATTAGCACTTAGCAGTCCATAGCCAAATTAAATCAATATATCAGAAAGCATAAAATAGATAATTTCATAGCATGTCACATTGTAAGAAGTTAGCAGAACCTCTTCAACAGCCTTTTCCCGTAAGCGCTCTGACAATCTCAATGACTTGATCTCCGCCTGAGAATCAGATAATTCTCGGTCCTTATCTATAATGACATATTCACACACAATATTAACAGGAAAAAAACAACAGAATTAGTCAAAAAATTCGCATTGGATCCAGCTATCAATACTTACCTCTTAGTTCATTCTCCAGTCGATTAAGCTCCAATTTCACCGGATCCGACCCGTGGAGAAGGTTTAAGAACTCATCAGCGTCAAGGCTTGGCCTCATGGACGTCCTTCTCCGGTAAGTCTTCCCTTCCTTGAACGAAGCTGATACCGTCAAAGGCGTTGTAAAACCTGCAGTGTCACTCGTCGGCTGTCGCACATTGTAGCTGTTATCGCCGGAAACCTCCGCCATCTCCGATCTGTAAACTTCTACGGTAAGCTCACTTTCAATGAATAATTCATATTTACAACCAGTTGTATAGATATTAGATAGAAATGATTATGTAGATATTTATAGAGAGATAATCTGTTGTTTAACTAATTTAAATTAGCATTTTAAAACAAATTCTTTATATTTAAATATTAAATTTGTAACTAATTAATTGTCTCTAGTATATTGGTCAAGCTCACATGGACGCAGCTAGTAGGTACATTAAAAATCGTTAGTCTGTCACCATCACAAAAATAAATAAATTGTGCAAATGACAATTTTGTACTTGGTTGAAGTAGTGGGGTGCTAGACGAAATAATTTTGAAATAAAATACAGGATTGTTCTATCGTGAATTTAATTGGAGATATTAATTTTGTTATTGTGTTTTCCAATTAAGCTATTGGCGATAATGATAGATGTTTGTTGATAGCGACAGTATTTATATTTTATTTAAATAGTTCATTCTTCCTCAAATGAGTTGAAACTTTAATTTGAAGCTCAAGGTATATCAATGCTTAACTTTAACTTAATTCAATGTTTTGCACCCTTCAAGCTTTCCCAAAGACAGATTATAAAGACCTTTTCTAGACTTTTCGAGCTTAAAATTTTCATAATTTTTTCGAGTTTAAAATGTTAAAATCTAAATTCCAAAGTGTTCTTTAGATAATCTTCTCCATTTTAAAACTCATTAATGCACATGTGGTGGAGCTTTATGGTTTTAAATGATTAAGGAAAAAAGGGATTTGGGTGTTATTTGATGGGTTAAAATTATTGGATGGGTCGGGTGAACTAATTTCAAGTGAGATCAGATATTTTTATTTGATTTGAAAATTTCAGCCACTTGAGGGGATATTTGTTAAGTTTTCTAACGGCAGAGATAAAATTGATCCAATAGTAACGAACGATAAATTAATAAATGAAAATAGAGGGATGTTTTTTTATCCTTCTTCCTTTATTATAATACTTATATTATTTGATGTCAGTTCTACTTCTTGAAAGTGATTCAAAAAATAAGTAATCAATATTGAGAGTAAAAACACAAAAAATATTTGTCTCTTAATATGCTAAAAATAACAAGTAAAAATGAAAATATATTTTTAATATAATGTATAAGTAAAAGTGAACAAAAATAATATAAAGTTAATACAATTTTTATTTAGATTTCTAAATCTAAAAGTTTCTCTATTGATCACTTACATTTACACTATTCAAAATTTGTATCAATTTAGATATTTATTTGACAAAGTAAATGTCGTTCACTCTCTTGGAGCACATAATACATCTAAAAATGCTTACTCGATTCGTTCCAAAATAAATATGTATATTTGAACTTATTTAATGTGCATTATCGGAAAGAGAAGTTATATAGTTAATCACGTGAGAAGGATTGGGGGAAGGCCAGTGAAGGGGACGAAAAAGGGATAGGGAAAGAGAAAATTTTCTTTTCTTTTTTATATTTTTTACATGTATTATTCATTCACACGATATTAACTCGTTTTTAAGGGACGTATCCATAAGAGTATCTTGTTATTCATGCCTTTGTGTGTGCTTAGGCTTTGCACTACAACCTTGATCTGGTCCACTCCACCTAAAAAAGAAAATTTATTTTTTCATCTTTTAACTTAAAATGATTTTAGACACAAATAACATATATTACTATTTAATTTGACACTTTAGGCATACATAAAATGAACAAGGTGTTAAATTAATAGACTCGTACAAATAAAGAGAATACAAAATAGAAAATTCATTTCATTTCATTGAAAAGGAAGAAGAAGATTTTGGCATTAATAAGTTTGTTGTTTAGGCTAAACTTGCCATTTATCTCTCTATTAATTTGACATACATCAAGTCTCAAAGATAAAAAAAAAAATGATTATCTAATTTGGTGTGTGGTCACTTTCGTAATTATTAACTTTCTCATAGGATGATGATACTCACATGATAAAAATCCAAAGCCTCTTTGCCCCACTCAAGTTGTATGCCGGAATGACCATTTAAGATCTCTGATCACTATTTGAATTTGAAAAAAATAGAATTACTTTTTATGAATTTGTTGAAAATAATTCTGATCTAGTTTATGGTGTTAAAAATAGAAGGTGCTATAATGAAAATATAGAATCTTCATAAATGAAAAAAGATTGCATTCAATTTTATAACGACGTTACTTCTTCAGTTCAAATCGAGGAATTCCATAAATATGATGCAAGGAAAATGCTACTAGCAAAGAAATCCATACACTTCTAAAATGTGAGATTCTCTTGAACAACGATTAAATGTAGTTTATTACATATTGATGTATTTCGATTGAGCAAATGATAAAAATGCCCCCTTATGTTTGAGATGAGTAGAGACTTAAAGTATGCTTTGAATAGTTTTAGTATTTTGAGTTTGTCATAAATTAATGGGATAAGGGTCTGAAAAATATTCCAACTTTGGTCGGATTTGTTGTTGCGATACTAAACTTTTATGATGACCTATTACCTCCCTAGACTATTTAATATCGTATTTTAAACATATATATTTGCCCACGTGGACATAAAAAATAATGCAAATTATAAATAGTAATGTGTCCATGTGGGCACATATATACCTTTAAAATACACTATTAAATAGTTTAGGGGGTAAAAAATACGGTATTAAATAGTCTAGAGAGGTAATAGATCCTTATGAAAGTTTAGTATCGCAACAACAAATCCGACCAAAGTTGAGGTATATTTTAGACCCTTATCCCTAAATTAATTGGTATAGACATATAACAGAATTCAACGAATTTTGTGAAAATAATTCATAAGTGACTAAAACTCTCTATTTCAATTTGTGTGAACGAAACATTTACTCCTTGCGCGATTTTAAGCGCCAAATTACATACTACCACTCTTCTAAAAACATCTACTATTCCAATGAATAGGCACACAAAGAAATATAAAAAGGTAACACCCATAATTATAAATTATTATTTATACACAAATTTAACATGTGTATTTTTACCCCAAACAACTGAGCAAATTATAGAAATTAACACTTTCAATTTTCAATAAAAATGATTATGTTAAAAAACAAAGTATGCACTGAACTATTGATATTTAAATTCAACAAAGTTAACACTTTCGTCAAGTATTAATCAAACTTTATTTATGAAGTTAACAGTAACTCACATTTAAAGGTACAATTGTATAGTTTCTACTATTTTTGAATTATTTCTAGACTTAAGTGTGGTTCTTAAAAGTATAGTTTCTATTATTTTGTATATCTTTTTCATGTTTAGTAATTAGTATAATTTTTTGTGTATTATGAGTTTTTCTTTATATTTATGATTAATTTATATATTTTTTTTTTTTTTGTCAAATCAATAAATACAAATTATTTAATATTTGATGAGGATTAAAATGTACTTAGTACATAGTTACGAGACTATTTTAAACCTGTCCGCAAACATAAGTAACCATTTTTTGTCATTTTGTCGTCCTAACCCTCACTATATATATGCATCTTTTTCTTGAAGGCAGCTTTTACTAAGCAAAAAGTGAAAGGAAAGAACCGCGAAAGTTGAATTCTACGAATTCATAAGAGAAAATTGAAAAAAAGAAGATGACGATCGATTGTTTAGTGTTGGGTAAGCATTTTTTACTTTATTTTATTATACTTTTGATATACTATACTATATACTATATGTATGCCTACCACATGTTTGATGAAATGCTGAAAAGAAACAATTTTTGAGTTTACAGGTGCAGGACAAGATGTAGGAAAAAGCTGTGTAGTGGTAACTATAAATGGCAAGAGGATAATGTTTGACTGTGGAATGCATATGGGACACGACGATCATCGGAGATACCCAGATTTCTCTCTTATATCTGAGTCTGGTGACTTTGACAATGCTCTTTCATGCATCATCATCACACATTTGTATGTTACTCTGCCACACCCCCTTATCATATGTTTCAATAAACCCCTTTACACCTTGTTGGATTGTTGTTACATACTCCCTACATCCCGACACTTTTCGACACTTTTTGACTTGACATGAAATTTAAGAGGAAAAAAAGGACTTTTGAAATTTGTGTGGTAGGTTTGAAGGGGAATTTTAAAATTAAATTGTTTTCAATCGTAAAGCGACATTCTTTATGGGACAGTCTAAAAAGTAGAGTGTGTCACATAAATGGGAATAGAGGGATTATCACTCATTTGGTATCATATTGTCATGTATTATATTGATGAATGTAATGTTTGGATAAATTGTATCGTTTTACATTTTTATGTAATGCCATACATAAGCAGTATGATGAATAAATTTACAATATTAAAAGTAGGTACACGGTAATTATTATAAGAAAAGGTAGAGTTAGGGATAAAATATAATTATTACAAACATGGGCAAATTGAGGAATTAACAGATAACTAAGCGATCACACCTACCCTGTCGTTACAGAAAATAAGACTTTTCATCCTTACTTAAGGATAGATTTAACCATACGAATCAAATTTAAGTAATATCAATACAAACATTGTATTTATATGTTACAATAGAATAGGTAACAAGATATACCCCAGCGTGGTGAGTCACATCCCCTATTTATATGATGGCTTTGTATTCTCTTACTTTTTTATCTTGTTTAGTGATATTCAATGCACTTCTTTAGCGATAGGGGGAAATTTTTCCCCTGCTTGACGAATTGCATCCCCTATTACATGTTTATATCATAGTGAAAGTTGCTCTTTTGTTTAATTTAATGAAACTGATGACCCCCTTTAGAGACGGAGGAAAGATTTGCCCCAACTTATTGAATCACATCCCCTGTTAAATGTATATGCTATTTTAATATTTTTATTTGTATGGATCTAATCTAATGAACTTTGGTTGCAGCCACCTAGACCATATTGGAGCTCTTCCATATTTTACTGAAGTTTGTGGGTACAATGGCCCCATATACATGACGGTATGGAGTTTCGCTGTTATCCAGGAAAAGTATAACTCGTGATCTTAGAAATTGTTCCGACTAAAAAATCTATCTTACATTTACATGTAATAAACCTAATTTACCTAACATTAGGGATACACTTGTTATCAAAATGCAATATAAATCAATAAATATTGAATATCATGGAGATTATAAAAAAAAGTCACGAGTTGCTGTTTACATTAATTAGACAATGTGAAAATAAAACGTGAAGCAAAATCAGCACAAAAAGAGTTCTGTTTTGGACATATATCCAGATACTTCCTTTAAAATATTAAAGCACTAGAGTAGATCAAGAGATTAGGGAGATGCCTTTTACAAATTAACAAATACTCCCTCCGTCCCTAATTACTTGTCCACTTTTGAATTGGTACACATATTAAGAAAACAATAATTGATATAGTGAGTTTACCATTTTACCCCTATTAATTATGAAGTTGATGAATTAAAAACTTAAAATTTTCAAGAAGTTCTACCTTTTTCGAAGTAATTAATTGAGGGTATAATGGGTAATTTTTTTTTGTCACAGAGGGAGTATGTGATTGCCTACAGACAAACCAGATATGTTGGGAGATTTTTAAGAAAATCTCAATTTTGCTTCATGTTTTGCGCAATATTTTGAATTCCTCTTTTATTCACATCTGATATGTAATTATCAGCCCATGTAATATATGCTTTTAGTATCCAAATTCTTTCTTTGCTAGAAATATTATGAATGAGCAAGAATGTGTACTTGGATTTTCAACTTAGTTTCGCCTTAGTTTATCGTCTACTCTGTGATCAACTTTAATAACTCATCCTTCAGTATCCAACAAAAGCTTTAGCTCCATTGATGCTGGAAGATTATCGCAGAGTGTTGGTTGATAGAAGGGGAGAGAAAGAGCAATTTAGTTCTGAGAATATCACAGATTGCATGAAAAAAGGTATTCTTTCTCCTACTAGTCACTTCCGTGACCTATTTATAGTATGATTAGTAATTGGTGGCAAATGGTTAGAATTTTGTACAGTTCGCAGTATATGTTCATATTGCTTCCATTAAAGTTATCAACTAGGCAAGTTAACTTCTCAGTAGTTATACCAACTTTATTTGGGTCAAAGCAAAGGTAAGTTAGACTGAGCATATTTATGATATCTGTTGAGGAAGTTCACTTTAATTTATTTAATTATATCCTCAACACTCCCCGTTATGTGCACTGCTCATTCTTTTTTCATGGCTAAGCACATAGAATTCTTTTTGATAATGAGTGGCATTGAGATTCGATCCCAAGACCTCTTTCTACTCTGATACCATATTGAAGTCAGTGTTGTCAAACCATATTGAAGATTTGAGGTGTGTGGCCATCTCATCTAAAAGCTTAAGCTTAAAACTGTTAGAAAGAACACACTTTTATTTACTTAATTATATTCTCAACAATCTCTCATGTTGAAATAAGATAGTAATATATATTGTGTATCACTGCCATAACCACTTACAACTCTAATATCCTATTAGTTCTCCAAAAAGAGAAAACCATGTGCAAAGAGGGAGCCATTTGTAATTGTTGCATATATATTGGGTGATAAAAGCTAACTGACAATAATTTGGATTTTCCACTCCTCACATGGTTGCATGAGTGCATTGCCTGACTAATGGACAAACCCTTTCTGTTTATTTTGGTTAAATCTGCTGTCTCAGTTGAGCTGCAAGTCTGACATATGCACAAACCTTTTCTGTCCCCCCCCCCCCCCACACACACACACAAAATTAAATTGGCTGCTTCAGGCTCTTGACAGTTGACACCATTAGTGTGGTTTCAATGGTTCTAATAGTTGCCTTCTCTGACTCATAGGTTAACTACACGAGCTTCTTATGTGGTTTCACTAGTTATCAGTCGAGTATGATAACTATGTTAAATGTGTTACTGCTGACATCAATGGATCATATAGCAGTAACAGTGGCTTGTTCTGCTGCCTCCAGAATCCCATTGTTGAAACCATTCAATATTATTGAGCTTATTACATGTCTACCTACAACTCAGAATTCACACATTGAGCCATTTAGGCACTCCCAGATCATAGGGAACTACATTCTTTTGGCTGGAGATAGATTATCCGTTATAGATCTTGCCAATACTTCATGCTAAAGTTATACTGTGGAAACAAAACAAAGGGAGAACAGACGGTTCTCATTGAAGTACAGGTGTTTTATGAAATCGCTAAATTAAAGCTAGACTTCTAAAAGTTGGCAAGAGAAGCTAGATTCCAAGAGATTGTTGATTGAACTCCTAGATTGAGCAACATTAATTTAATGCACATGCAAGATTGGATTGATGAGTGAAGTGAATTCTACCGATCTAACAAAATGCAGCTATTACATAAGTTAGCAGACATGCTGAGCTAATGATATTTTCTGCATCTTTTCTCTTATTCATCTCCAAATTGATGTGTTATTTAACTTTTGCAATCGGTTTGCAGTTACTGCAGTGGATTTGAAGCAGACTGTGCTGGTTGATCGAGACCTTCAAATTCGAGCATACTACGCTGGACATGTATGGTTTAAACTATTCATTCATTTGCACAAACACTCCAATAACTTTTTCACATGCATTCATTGGTATCAAGCAGATTGACCTGTAGGTTTTCTTTTCAATCTCAAGGGAAAAAGGGAACATCAATTAATGATGAAAACAAAAGCCACATCAACTTAATTCACGATAACGAGTCTGTTTAGATTGACTTATTTTAGGCAGTGTTTTAAAAGGCGGGGGCACGAGGTGAGACGTTTTATGTAGCATGGGTGAGGTGTAAGTCCCGAAATATGGGGGTAATTCCCATGGATCTACGGGGTATATCTCATGTATCTTTAATTTTATAATTTTATAACTATGAAAATAAGAAAATGTAAAAATTTCAATAACTCTGCCAATAAATTCAAATAAATCACTAGTCATATAGAAAAAAATATTATTATTATTATTTTAGAAAGGTATCAACACAAAAAATGATAATATTCAAGATCTTTAAAATAAAATCATCATCCGTTTCATCATTGATCTCTACTTCTACTAGTCCTTCCCATTCTCAACTAATATTTGCACTGGTTATGTTTACATATTTCAAAGAAGAAGAAGTTTAAAAAGTGTAAGAGCAATGACAAAAAATGGATAAAGTTGTGTCAAGAACATAGTGTTACGGAATCTCTATCCTATCAATTTCCGGCATGGCTATCTAGAATACTATTTATGGGAGTGTCATTTTCTATGAGAGGTAGAGAGACTATTTCTGGAAATAGCCTCACTGCCTCCACGAGGTAGTGGTAAGGTTTGCCTACATTCTACCCTTCCCATACCCCACTTGTGGGATTTCACTGAGTGTGTTGTTGTTTGAAAAAATCTCTACAACATGAAAATATGATAACATTAAGTATAAAAATCACTACCCCAATAATAAAAATATGTTATATACTTTTAAAATATTTAAAAACAAATTTATCGCCCGGGACTCACACTTTCATGTCCGGGGCTTATGCCCCAATCTAGGTTGTACACCCTATGGATCTACACTTTTAATTTTACTCTGGAACATTTTTGTTATGCCCCGCCCCGTGGCTCGCCCAGAAAACACCTTTGGAAACACTGATTTAGGTGCTTTTAATCAGTTTTGTAGTTTTAAGGTAAAATAAAAAGTGATTTTAAGCACCTGTTTTTATGCTGAAATAACAAAAATAAGCCAAAAGTCCCAGATAAAGATTTCTAACTTATAACTTTGTACTTACAAGTCATAAGTTATAAGCCCATACAAATGGACTCAATGTTAGAAAAGGATTATGAATTGGATTAAAGGGAGTTAGGTATATCATCTTTTCAAATTTTAAAGGAATGGAAAATGAAGATTAAGAGAGTCATATCTTAGGAGTTAACTGGTAAGCCAGTCTATTGCAACTGATTCTTCTCCTTTAGGTTGGTTTGATCTGAAAGTGTTCTCAAGTTTAAACTGGCTATTTTCCTGGTGCGTATTTCATATTTCAACTTTTTAGAACTAATTATTCCCTTTCCAACTGACCTACATTTCTGAAGCATATGCAGATTATTGATTGACTCTTCTAACCTCCTCTTCTCTCACACACATACGCGATCTTGTGTTAGTGCTTCTGGATACTGCTAATTTACTCGATAGCTGTGTGAAGCACACTAGATTTTCTGTGTTCTTTCTTCAATTTGGAAGCTACAAGCAGCTATATATACTCCATGTCAATAAGCAGAACTGTGTATGTTTGTCTTTTTCTTTCCTGGCTCATTTTCTCCAACTTGAGTGAGAACAATTTTTTGTTGCATTTGGAAGTTCCTCAATTAAAGCAGCAACACAGCATTATCACAAAACAAAAAGAAAATAGCAGCCTTGAAAATCCAATGTGATACCTGGGCATGCCCCTGGGTAGCAAACACAAAACAATGGAGATATGGAATGGTATTCTGGTGAAAACGGAGAAGAAACTTGCTAGATGGAAGGCACAATACCTATCCCTAGGGGGTAGATTGATCCTCATAAACTCTGTTCTGGACTCTTTACCAACCTATGTGATGTCCTTGTTTCCAATCCCAGCAAAGGTGGTGAAAAAACTAGACAAGCTTAGAAGGAACTTCCTATGGAAAATCAATAAGGAGGGAAAGGGTTATAACTTAGTCAACTGGAAGAATGTTCTTCTTAGCAAAGAAAGAGGGGGTTTAGGGATCAGAAATTTGAGGCTGCAAAATGAATGCCTTTTGATGAAATGGCTATGGAGATACATTGAGGAAGATGCAGCTCTCTGGAAGGAGGTTATAGTAGCAAAATATGGAGAACTAAATCCCTGGTGTACGAAAATCACCTCTGAACCATATGGGGTGGGGGTATGGAGGACAATCAGGAACCTATGGCCACAAATGGAAGGAAATGTGTATATTAAGGTGGGTAATGGAAACAAAACTAAATTTTGGAAAGATGGTTGGATAGACCAAACCTCTCTTAGAGAACTTTTTCCAGATTTGTTTCTAATCTGTGAGAACCCTGATGCTAGAGTGAGTGATTGTTGGACAGAACAGGGATGGGACATATCTTTAAGAAGACTACTTAATGATTGGGAGGTGGAGAGGGTGGCAGCGCTACTGGAAAAACTAGCTGGAATGATTATAACTACAACAACAGACAAGATCCTGTGGAAACATAGCAAGGATGGAGTCTTCTCAGTCAACAATGCCTACAAAAGAGGACTAATGGGGATGACAGGGGTCCCAAAATATAATTGGAACTACTTTTGGAAGAGTGACATTCCTACAAAAGTAAAGTGTTTCACCTGGTTAGTGATAAAGAGAGCATGTTTAATAGAAGAAGTTCTACAAAAAGAAAGACAAACAACTGGTTCCTAGGTGTTTTTTGTGCAACTTGACAGGGGAAACAAATAACCATCTCTTCCTGCATTGTAAGTTTACTGCTCAAATTTGGAACTTGTTTCTCAACATCACAAGCATGAACTGGACAATGCCAGAACATACATCAGATCTGTTGAGCTGCTGGATTAGGAGGGGAGGCAGTAAGAGTCAAAAGAGATGGTGGAAGCTAATACCATCATGTGTATGGTGGTCAGTCTGGAAAGAAAGAAATGGAAGATGTTTTGAAGATAGATCCAATTCCATCCACAAAGTTAGATGAAATTGTATAGTATCTCTACTTTTTTGGTGTAAACAACTTTGTATAGATGATATAGACCAGATTATAGATTTGATAGAAAATCTGTAATTATCCCTTTTTGGAGGTAGCCAACATACCCTTAATGTTGAAGAATTCAACCTTACCAGTTTCAAAAAAAAAAGAAAATCCAATGTCTTAAGTTACCCTTATCTCAAAAAAAAGAAAATCCAATGTCTTAAACAATGAAAAGAGGAGAAAGAAAAAAAAACACCTAATTCATAATATGTCTAGCACCAATAATAAAAAAATGCTACTTAGGAAAGTGATATTGCGAAATATACTACCAACAGAACCCACCCTTCGGGGGCCCCCAGTTGTTTGGACTTGGGACTTCCATGTTGGAGGTCTCAAGTTTGAAACCCCTTGCCAGCGAAAGCAAGAGGTTTGCCTTCTGGGTTGAGCTCGTCCTGGTGCGGGTTACCTCTCCTATGTGGTTAGCGAGCTATTGCATAGGAGCGGGGGTTTTACCCTGTGCGCACCCAAAGGATAGTGGCTACGGGTTTCCCTTGTCATAAAAAAAAAATATACTACCAGCAGAAACCAATTGATCAATCAGGAAGTTGACACCACACTACTTGTGTATATACTCATACATATATAGGATTCCCTCACTACATTGGCGTACTGACTTGCGGAAAAATAAAAGCACTAAAGATAACCTGATTGCTATTGCTAGCTGCAAGTTCATTCTTGGAGACAAAGTCATGCAATGCAAATTATAAATCTGAGCTTAACATAGATGCACATACTGTCCTTCTCTATATTGCTGCTGTCTGCCTTCCTTTGTTTCCCTGTAAATATGGCACATGTCATGGGTGATCTCATGTGGAAGACATTTGAACCACCAGCAAATGTGGAAGAAAAACATGGAGTAAAATTAAAATTCTGGATTGATGAAATGGAAAAGAAATTTGTGTTTATCCCTATTAGTTCATGATGTTCTAAACTAGCTGTCTTGTCAAATATTTTAGATATCTTTGATTGAAATCTTTTTATATATCAGACAAACATTCCTTCTTGTGAATTTCAACTCAACTCCCTTCTATTATTATACACAAAAAGAATAGAGCCAGAATTTTTTCATCCAGCTGTAAATCATGCATGAAAGGTCAATCAATATGGTGTTGTGAATATCAAACTCTATGTCTAGGTTCTTGGTGCTGCAATGTTTTATGCTAAAGTGGGCGATGCTGCTATGGTATATACTGGAGATTATAATATGACGGCTGATAGACATCTTGGAGCTGCTCAAATTGACCGGCTGCAGCTGGACCTTGTCATAACAGAGTAAGTAGTGGATACTGGATACCATCTAGAAAATCACCTGCATATGCATCATGGTTGTACCTGTCAAAAGAATACCATGGTAAACAATCTTGGTCAAATATTTAGTCTAAATCAATATTGATGATCATTTTTCTAGTTCCTTTTTTATTTCGCGATTTTCTGCATTTCAAGTGGATTGATGACTTTTGAGTCCCACATCAGTTGTGGGAATGGAAATTCGACTCCTTACATAGTCGGCGACAATCCTCACTCCTTGATCTAGCTTTTGGGGTTAAGTTAGCCTGAAGGTCCATTTCTTTATCATGCTATAGAGCCATACCCTTCCCAATTCATTCTTTACCCGACGTTGGGCCCCATCTTATATTGTCCACTCTGTGTGTGCAAGGGGTGTTGAGTCCACATTGGTTGTGAGAACGGAGATTGGACTCCTGATATGGTCTTGACAATCCTCACCTTTTGAGCTAGCTTTTGAAATTGAGTTAGGCCTAAGATCCATTTCTTTATCAATGACCATTATCGGTTTCCTGATTTCGATGCTCTTTTGGCTAGGCTTGGCTCAAAAAATAGTTTGCACTTAAGAAAAAGTATGATTCAAGATTTGATGAAATATAGTTACCAAGTTTCAAAAAAAAAAAAAGATTTGATGAAATATTGACTAGCACCAAAATCATATGTTAGTACTTGCCAAGATTTATGTCTCCTGCTAATTGGTTTGACTGGAACATCGCAGTGTGAAATGGCATGAACTTGATGTAATATCCTCCTTTTCCCTGTCTTATTCCATGTTGGTGGTATCATATTAGTGTTCTTTCCTTCTCATAGCCTCTTCAAGACAAGTTAAAATCATCACTTTTGATTCAAAATTTGTAGATATCCTGATAAATAAATTTAATGGCATTATCCTTGCTTGAAAAATGATTTTTTTTGCTGCGAAGATCTCTACTCATAATTTTGTTCTTACAGGTCAACTTATGCAACCACCATCCGCGATTCCAAATATGTTCGGGAGAGGGAGTTTCTCGAAGCAGTATGATACTTTTGGCTACTAAAAAGAGTTCTTTTTTCCAATATTGTGCATATGTTTTTCTTATGATTTCTGCTTATAACACATTGCTCTGACAGAATATGCTTGTGAGTGTTAGCAAGGGTCTTGTCTGAATATCCTTGTCCGGGGTGCTATGCTTTATATCCCGATGTCAATGACTAATGTTGATTGGTATAAGGACCCTAGTCTAGTTCTGAAGCATTGACTCTTCTAACAAAGTCAAAAGCGAGTGATGTGATTTGCAGAAGTATATAAATAGTTTGCATGGTGTGCTCACAGTGATTTTAAAGTTGCGATTACAATCTGAGTGCTGTACTCCATACCTAAAACGATATTTGCTTGTGAATTGACAAATCATTGATATTGTCTAAGTATCTCTTAAAAAGTGGTAGGGAAAGAGGCTGCATTGCATTTTCTTTTAGCTGTCACCCCTTGATTGATGATTGATTTCTAACACTGAACAAATCTGTACCAAAGGGAATTTGTGTTTTGTTTAAGACTTGCAAATTAAAAGATGTATGCACGTGCACGTTGTTTTCTTGTTTACGGCACTTCATCAATTACTGCAATTAGGCATAATCTCTTTCAGTTGTATATTTTTTCTGCTCACTTTGCTCTATTTCGGAATTGGAGGGTTTTTGTCTAAAACATTGTATTTATTGCCATTCTCTATTATTAAGAGTCCTTTATTTCTAAAATATTTGTGATTCTTTTCTTGGCATTATCCATTCAATTTGCTTTATTGTATTGTTGAATTCGTTTTTATGTACTCTTGCTTTAATACCAAAATTTGATATTTTTTAGATTCACAAATGTGTTGATAGCGGAGGAAAGGTGCTCATCCCTGCATTTGCTCTTGGAAGAGCTCAGGTTTTTATTCTTTATTTTGGCTAGATCATAAATCAACTCTATTTTTTTCCTTTTTTCTTTTTGATAAGGTGTCTGGGCTATCTTGCGCGTATCTCGACTAATTCTACTGGATACTTGTCACTAGGGGTGGGTGTTCGGTTCTTCAGTTCGGTTGTTCGGTTATGGAAAAATGTGCAACGAACACCGAACCAATTTAGTTCAGTTTTTTCAAAGTTCGTTCTATTCGGTTTTCTAAAACGTTTTTTCGACGCAAGTGAGTAAAATAAAATAAGGACCAAACCAAATTAAGTATAACGTTAATAGTAGAATTATACCAATATATGGTACTAAATTACTAATTATACCAAAATTATATTGGAATTATACCATATAGAATACTAATTATACCACTATTATACTGGAATTATACTATATATAATACTAGATTATCCACTATTATATTAGAATTATACCACATATAGTACTAATTGTACCACTATTATGTTGAAATTATAACATTACTGAAGAGTTAAATGATAATCAATGGTCCTAAACTTCTAATCAGTATTTTGTTTCCAGACATTCCATGAAGAATGTGGTCAACTAGTCCAAACTCTAGTAAGTTATGCATGTAGCTCTCTGAGCTGGCTGTCAATTTGGTTTCAAATATTTGATTATGAGAAACTAAGACATCAATGCTACAAGAGCTTCTGTTAGGCTTGTATTTATTTGGAAGTCCAACTCACTCCAACAAGAGCACCCACATCTGATAGTGCCCATGTATAAGTAATGGTTTACATATTTCAATCAATCAACTTGTACATCAATTCCAAACTTGTGGGAAGTGAGTATGAATCCTCTATATCTATTCCACTCTATCTGCGCTCATTTCACTCTAATATTAAATAAATAAGGAAAATTAGGAGTTTTCTAAGTCTAGAGGTTCTCTATATCTCACACTTATCACTGCTATTGATTTATACATGTGTGGTATAAGTTGCCAAATTATATAACTGATAAACATGGGCTTTCCTCAATCTTACTCTTGATGTTTTTCTTTATGTTCTTGCTGCTTCTTACAATTTTCTTTTCTTCTGCACTGTAATATATTATAACACAAGTATTTATTTTATTGGTGAACTATACTTCTCCAAACAGGAACTCTGTATGTTATTGGATGACTATTGGGAGCGGATGAATCTTAAAGTTCCTATTTATTTTTCCGCAGGTTCTTCTCCCTTGATTTCCTTGCATAATTCCTTTTGTCATTGCAGTTATGTGATATTTCTTTGTTGAAATCTTGGTCCTTCCTTGATCAGATTAGAAGAATTAGAGTCAGAACTAGAATTCTGCAAGTGCACATATATCTCTGTAACTTTATGTGTGATTTATTAAGTGTTGTTGGAGCTATCAAGCTGTCTGCACTATAACATGCCAAGCAATTTTATGTCATATTTAAGAGCTAAAAAAATAAGCCTCCCTGTGTACGTGAAAAATAGTTATTACTTGGTAGAATGTATGCCTTTTAGGATATCCTACTTAGATTTACTGGAGATACCTATGATAGTGTTGCATACGTTTGTTACAGTCTTTAATTACCAGATATTTCCCTGCCAAAAAGTTATTGTGCATGTCAGTAATAATAATACAGCTTCTAGCCACCAGGTTTCGAACTTGAAATGAGATTTTTTCCATTCCCAGTTCCACAAGTCAACAAAATGGGGTTATGATCAGATATCAACTTTGGTAGAATGGTTTGTTTGATTTGAGAGAAGCTCTCCCCTCATTCTGCAGTGTAAGAACCTAGCAATTCTGGAGGCACAATCAAAATCCTCACCTCTTCTCCAAGTGAAGGATCCTCCAAATAAAGGAGGATCCACCTATTCTAATTCCTCTATGCAATTGGAAAATTCTGCCATTCCCCCACTTAACCTGCGGCAGCTTGTTATCTCTGAGGGATATCTAGTGACATTAAAGTCACCACATACTATCCATGGCCCAAGACAGGTGCTTCTCACATTGATCAACTCTTGCCAGAGTGTCCTCCTAAGTCACTCTATTGCAGTCAGCATACACACCAGTTAAATGCCAGCTCCAGTTATCATTTAAACTGGTGAACTTGCCTGTTATGCATTGGTTGCCATCCATCACCATCTCCCCATTCCAAATTCTTTTATCCCAAAGAATTAGGATTCCCCCACTGCTCCCCGGAGCCTCCTTTTGGATTTTTCCCTTCATCTATTGTGCCATATATTCTGAATAACATTGTCTATGTGACCATCAAGTTTTGTTTCTACCAACACAAAGACATTAGCCCCTCACTGTTGAAGAAGCTTTCTCACTAACTCCCTCTTACTTCCCCCATATAACCCCCTAACATTCCAGGAGATTACAACTGCAATAGTTTAGCCTTGAATAAATATTTTACGTATTTCTTTCACTAGGTTGTCATATTAGTTCTCTTAATTAATCTTTTTGGTGGTACAATAATTCTGCAAACATTTTGGATTTACGTAATGTTTTTTTGGTAGTTTGACGCCTTATTCTTAATCCTGAGCTACTAATCTTTCAGGTTTGACTATACAAGCTAATATGTACTATAAAGTTCTCATAAACTGGGCCAGCCAAAAGGTGAAAAATCTTTCCGCAACACGCAATGCATTTGACTTCAAAAATGGTGCTTCCTCTATCACTCATTGCAAGCTTTAGGAAATTGTAGAAATACTAAAACAGTAACAGGGATCACCAAGCTTTCTTGTTCCACGATATTCCTCTTTCTGTATTCCTTAGTAGTTCAAGTGAAAGATTAAGATTTATCTAAAAAAGTGAATGATTAAGATCATACGTAATGCTATGCTCATTACATTATCTGTTGCTTGTACTTTGTAGTCCACAATTTTGAACGTTCCATGATAAATGCTCCTGGACCTTGTGTTTTATTTGCTACTCCCGGCATGCTAAGTGGTGGATTTTCACTTGAAGTTTTCAAGCAATGGGCTCCGTACGAACAAAACCTGATAGCTCTACCAGGGTACCACCTTTAATTCACTTTTATTTAATATCTTGTCATGAGACAAAAAGAAATGCATTTACAAATGTTAATGATACATCCTTGCCTTTGTCTTTTAATAAAAGATGTCTGGGTAATCAGGGACGGATTTATAGCCCAATTTGTGGTGCACGTGAACCCATGGTCTCTCGTGAAAACTAGTATTTTATATACATATTCTTTTAGATTAGATCTAATATTATGTGCTGGCTGCCATGCTCCAAAAAAGTCAAATGGTGCACTTCGTTGAACACTGGGTTATTTGCCCAGAGGAACAAGGATCAATTCCCCCCTAATACTTCCTTTTTTCCTACTTTCTTTCGTGGTTTGCCCACGTGGTGCACCCATGTTATACAAATTCTGGATCCGCCTTTGCCTGGGTTGAGTAAGCTGCTTCAAAATATTTGTCAAGTATTTGCATGCTCTTTTGCTTCTTGAATCTGAAACTCTTGAAGAAAAACTTAATAGTTTATCTTTACACGTTGTCAGCATTACCAAAATGCTATTGAGAGAGTAAAATCATGAGAACTGACTTCCATCAACTTTGCGAGGTGCAACAAAATTTTCGTTGGATCTTATGTCTCAATATACATTCTTTCTTGGTCGAGATGATTGATACTGCTCCTAGCATCAACTGATGATTGTCAAGAGTTGTTTCATTTCAAAAGTGAATATATTCAGTCATTCTTTCCTGCATGGCTGGACCTAAGCACTTGGTGATATCTTTAGTACCAGGAGAAAGTGGGAAGTCAAATTAGAAAACGAAGCTCAGGGTTTGACTTTTTGCAATTCCTTTGGGAATGAGAAAATTGAAACTCATAAATAGGGATGTAAACATTTTATTCGTAATGCTCATTTCTTGTTTATGTATTTTAATCTTTCTATGTTCCCCATCTCATGTTTCTTTCTTCTTCCCTATCAACTTTTCCATATAGGAGCTTTAAGGTCAGCTAGATTCCATTTTAAATACTCCCTACTCTGATTGTGTTCTTTACCCTTTACTGTAAAACTCAGTTGAGCACATCAAAAAGAACAGTGGTATGCTAACTTCATCAATTAATTTTTCGGCTATTGCCTCAGTGAAAGAACTTAAAGCTCTCTCATTTCTCTTTTTACACGTTTAGACTTTAGTCATAAGGATTATTGTTCTTTATCACCATTAGGACTATGTGGCTTCCTATTCCACTTTCTTTGTCACCATTTTACCTACACTTATGTTCCTACTATCCTTTGAATCCTATTTTTCAGATATTGTTTGGCTGAGACAGTAGGACACAAGTTGATGAGAGCTAAACCTCCTGCCAGAATCGATGTTGATAAAAGCACCCAGATTGATGTGCGCTGCCAGGTACTTCTATTCTTGTATCCTCTTAAATTTGCTCAATTCCATGACATACTAGCTCTTTTGTATATGTCTTATCATATGCTCCACTACAATGTTGATATTTTTACTCAAATGACTCTTCAAACAACTGTTAAACTGTCTGGTAATGATTGCGTTAAGAGTTAAATGTGAGGGTTCCTGTCATTTTTCCTTCTGTACAAAATTGTCTTTGTTTCTCTGTTTTAGATTTCTACTTTGGATATCAAAACTTGAAATTATGGATGATATATAGAAACATTTTCAGTTTCTATTTTTTTTTTGTTATTTAGCTTTGATCTTTCTAACTATATAAGTTTATCTGTTTCTTGGATTTTTGCCAGATTCATCAGCTGTCTTTTAGTCCACATACTGATTCCAAGGGAATCATGGATCTGATCAGATTTCTGTCACCCAAAAATGTAATACTTGTACATGGGGAAAAGCCCAAGATGGCATCGCTCAAAGAGAGAATTGAATCAGATCTTAGGATCCCGTGCTATTATCCTGCAAATAATGAGTCTCAGCGCATTGAATCAACTCAATATATTAAAGCTGAGGCATCCAAATCATTTCTCCAAAGTTCTTTGAGCCCAAATTTCAAGTTTCTAAAAACAATTTCAAGAGCAGACACTGGTTTCATTCTTAATGAGAGAGCTGAGTCTTGTGTACAAGTATGTGATGACAGAGTAGCTGAAGGGGCAGTCATCATGCAGAAAGACCAGCACCCAAAAATTGTACACCAGAATGAGTTAATGGATATCTTAGAAGCAGAAAATCATAAAGTTCAGGTTGCTTACTGTTGTCCAGTGTGCGTCCCTAATGAACCTAAAAATGTACCTTTGTCACCAGGAGAAGATATGCATCCTGTGCTTGATAAACGCTCCTTGCTGCATTTATTATACACAAAACTCTCAAATGATTTTCAAGATGTAACAATTCAGAATGATGGGGACTGTCTCCAGATAGGGTCGTTGACTGTCTCTCCCTGTCCGAAGGAGAAGTGTCCTCATAGAAGACATGTTAATCCAGTTAGTACATCTGAAGCAGTAAACTTTTGCTGCACGTGGTCAACGGAAGATGAGAAACTTGCTTGGAGGGTCATCTCAATCATGAAGAATTTGGAGTTGAAGACAAGTGCTCATTTAGAATTGAAAAAATGTTCTGATGAGGGTTCTTAGTGGAGACATGATTCAGTTTACTCTGTTATGAAATGTCAAGAACCATCGTGTAGTCAATGCTCGATAATTACAGCATCTGGAGTAGTTGACTGTATCAAGTGCTATAACATACAGTCATATCGTGTAGTATTCTTTTGGGGTTTACGAGAAGAGGAAAGAAGTATCCTCAGAAAAATCAATTGTAGTTTGACTGTATCAAGTGCTAATGTGATGCTTACATTTTTTGCAAGGAAGAAATATTGAGCTCTTTGGGACTATAGCCTGTTTTATGCTCATGGCAACACTTAGCTTTGCTTAGTGCTTTTTATGGAATACAATTTTTCTTTCCTTCTTTGGTAAAAGGCTGAGATTTTTGTTGGTAGTTGTTGATGCTGCTCGTATACTTGTTACTAGCAGCAAATCTGCACTTTGGTATTTTTTTTATTTTCCAATAGTCGTTGCATATTCATCTATACAGTGTGTTGAGAATCCTGTGGTTTCAGTCTTTCACATTTTGATTTTAGCGGAGGCAAAAATATTAGGCAAAAATATTGGGTGCTTGTGTTTATGGTGGCATAACTGAGGGGTTCTTGTGTTCGCGTGAATTATGATCCGTTCCTAGATCATGTAGTAATGTTATATTTTTTTAAAAAAATACTTAAATATATGTGTGCATTCAAGTTTAAAGTGTCATATAATAAGATGGTTACTGGTACACCTATCTAAATGATTTACAACAATAATAAAAAAACCAGTGCACCTCTCTATGTGAGGTTAGGAGTTCAAATTTTACATTTATTTTATTTTTTTCCGTAAAATTGATTGCACCTCTTTAAGTGATTATCGTCAAACATGGATGCATAACTAATATATGAGAAAAATAATACTAGTATATATTATACCACATTGTTGTCTCAATCTGTCAACATCCTAATAATTAAATGGATTTCTATAAGCTCACATCTTCGTAACAATGAAAAGGGCCAAGGGGTCATTTGTTCTGTAGATAAAATTATGTAAGGATTATAATGTAGAAATTGTAATATTGAATTCATAATCCCTGGATTATAAAGTGATATGATATACTTTTTTTTATTTATGAATATTTAGTTTAATAGATTGAAAATAAAATTTACGATTTGAGGCTTTATGATGCATCCTTATTTGTTAACTATATATTTATCGAGAGAAATAAGAAATTGTTTTGAAAAAGCACCAAATACAATTCCTTGTCTAATCAAATCTTGAACAGTTAGAACTTAAAAACATTTTATCTCTATTATATTTTTTTTTTAATGATAAATACATATTGATAGTCAAGATTTGATAACAGAATTTCATTAAGTTGATATTGACTTGAATTTCACATTTAGGTTTGTCAATTTCTATTCAACATTGTTGTATTAATTGTCAACATCCTAATTATATTATCAAATGACTTTTTTGTCTTCTTAAACAAGAAGATGACATGATAATAATGAAAGTAATTAACGGGTTGTATGATTTAAAGATAAAGTAATATAGAAATTATAATTAAAAAATCAGTATTGTGATTTATAATCTCTAAATTATAAAATCCATATAATTCTTTTGACAAATATTTCGTTTCATTAAATTAAAAATAAAATATACATGACATAATAAAATAACATGTATTTGTTATAGATGGTATAAAGTATTTCTTTTAAAATAATTTAGAATTATCCTTATTTTTAAAGTAAGAAGTAAAAACAAAGAAAAGAAATAAGTAATCACTAATCATGAGTATTTTGGTCTTTTAAGTATTCACTTAATCAAATCATTTCAAAAAATTATTTTTAGAAAGTAATTATTTATGTTTGACTATTTAATTTTAAAAAATATATATATTTTTCAATACATATTTTATGATCATAAATTAAAGACATACTAAATATTCAATATACTCTTTATTTTTATTATCTTAAAAATATCATATAAAAAGTTAAAATAAAAAAATATTTTTTTTTTGGAAAAAATAAAAAGAAAACAAAATCTCCCTTATCCTATTTGTGTCTGTTTTTTATATCAAGTACAAAGATGCTACAAAATTGTCAGTAGCCAGACACAGCTCCCCCACCCCCACCCCCAACCCCCAGTGACACCAAATTCATCAAAAGTTTCAGCAAAAACTCAAATACGTCAGCTAAATCAACACTTATCGATGAGGTGATTATAGTGATAATCAAGATTCAGTTTTTGTTGAGCAAAAAGGAGAAGAAAGATTGAATTTTTATCCATATTGAACATTCAAGAAAAATGGCAACTGAGCCACCAAATATGATTTCTTCCGACCCCACAACTCCACTTCTTCACCGGCGACTCGAAAACGGCGGCAGAGGGGGTCGTCAGTCATCACTTGCTGTGCTTCTTGGTCGGGTCACCGGAAGGCGCGGCGGCGGCGGTGGCGGGGGCGCGTCGTTGTTGGTGAGGGAGACGGCGGCGCGTGAGCTGGATGAGCGAAGAGCTGATTGGGGTTATTCGAAGCCGGTGGTGGCGTTGGATATGATGTGGAATTTGGGGTTTGTGATTGTGTCTGTTGTGATTTTGTCATGTGCGGTGGATGAGTCGCCGAATGTTCCCATTAGGGTTTGGATTTGTGGGTATGCTTTGCAGTGTGTGGTGCATGTGGTGCTTGTGTGGTTGGAATATAGGAGGAGGAGTTTGCAAGGAGGAACTGATGTAGAGGGAAATGATGGTGAGGGTGGTGAAGAGAGGAATGGGGTTTTGGGTATTGGTGATCAGTCAAGGTAAGGTCCATTTCTTGTTCAATAAATTTCAGATTTTTTCATTTGTGTAGCATGATGTTGGTGGTATTACTAATAGTTACAAATAAAACAACAACAAACTCAGTGTAATTTCACAAGTGGGGTCGGGAGAGTCTAGGGAGGGTATGATGTATGGAGCCTTACCCCCTACCAGCAATGTGAACTAGCTCACACGTGAGGAGTTAGTTTCACTTCTAATACAATAAACCAAGTGTTGTCTCACAAGTAGGCTCTAGGGAGTCTAGGGAGTAGGGAGGATAAGATGTATGCAGCCTTACCCCTACCTTTATGAGGTAGAGTGATTGTTTTTGATTGACCCTTGGTAACTCCCCTCCTTTATCCGAGCTTGGGACTAGCAATGTGAACGAGCTCACATGGGTGGAGTTAGCTTCACTTCTAATATAGGTCAGTTAAATTACGTTTAAGCTCGTTGCTCGTGAGACGGTACTATGTTTGGAAGGCGTTAAAAGGGACTATATAGACCTAAAATCAGATGAGGGGAGTTTGTGAAAAGAACTAAAATCTCTTGAAATTCATGTGAACTTATGAACATAATGGAAACAAATGGATTGGTAGAAGTGATTTGAAATAGTTGGTATAAAGGAGATATTGGTATAATGTATAAAACATGAAATGCTGAAGGAAGTGATGGATTCTCTATTCTTCTCAAGTGATATTGTTGGGATCAAATGAATATTGTACTTTCATGGAATGCATGTGCTTGAGGCCTTTTCCGTCAATCTTCTAAGTATCTTTAGCCTCTAAATGGCTAATGGTGACAACCACACTAGCATATGATAAAGTTAGCAAAATGCTCAGCAACTCCTTAAAGTACTTTACAAAATTTTGTAATTGCAAAACTAGACGACGGCATGCATTTAAATATGCAACACAACTCCATCTCTTGCTTGGGCTCCAATAACATTAAAATCTTCATCTTCTCTTTTGATCACTGATTTGTTCTTCTCCTTCTCTTAAACGAACTATTTGAACTTTAGTTGACGAGTTTACAGAAGAAACCTAATGCCAGTGCTCTCTGTAAGAGGCTACTATCTTGGCATTTTCTTCCTCTTTTCCCCCCTACGAATATTTTGTAATCCATTTGAAGACTTGCATGTTTTACTCTCTCTAATTTTTCTATTATAGTACGATAAGTTTGCTTTGTATGTAGTATTTATGTACATAAAAACAAGTACTAAATTTGAACCAAAGGAAAAGTTTTGATTGATCAAATGAAGTATGGTAATTGATTGTGTTTTAGAAGCTGAAATCTTGATAATTGCTATATACTTCAAAGACAGGAACAAGTTTGCTTAACAGAATGGCCAGACGGAATATTTTAAAGCTAAATGTTTCACATTGATTCAAAGGCAATTAACTTCCTTAAGACTTTGTATAAGAGGGACTTATGGTTAGATTGTGAGAGGGCATTGAATAGTGATTTCCTAGCTGCCTGCCGTAGTGTACTCGTAGGCCTCACCAACTGCTATCTATTGGAACACATGCACACTTTTTATAGTCAACCTAGTAAATGGAACTTAATGAGATAATATCTACTAGATTTCATGGATTTTGTTTGATTCATATAGTCATTGAAAGATCCATATATCAGAGAAGGATAATATCTTCCAAGAAAAGGAGCAACAGAGAGCTCAAACTTATGGGAAAATTTTATAGATTTCTTTTATAGGTTAAGGAGATGAAAAATTTACTGAGAATAATGTATCTTTGCTCTGTTATTGGTGAGAGTTCACGGTAGTAGCATATCAGTGATTCTTACCTTTTGGATTAAGTTAATCTAAGTAAAAGTAGTTTCTGCAGGTCTTCATTTCATTCCATGCTGCAAAGCAATTGTTCGTATCTTCTGCATATGACCTTTTGATATTCAATGAATAAGATACACACACATACATATAAACTGTAGAGCATATACGAATACGATATGTATGTATGCATAAGAAGCATTTATGTATTTCATATGACAGACAATTTATATAACCCGCCATCAGTCTCCCATCTTAGAGATGTGTTTGTTGGTTTGGGGGTTGGGGGAGGGGGGACTGCCAAAGAAGCAAATGAAACTTTAAGTGACCTTTTTGTGCTAAGTAAATTTTAAATTTTCTCTCTCATTAAAAAGACATGTGACAGTTGAGTAACAAATCAGGGCTTGACACTTTAAAGATATACTATTTTCTGGAATTCAATCAATATAACATTGTTTCAGACGCTTCACGC